GTGAGTGTGTGTGTGTGAGTGGGAGGAGTAAACCATGCATGGCCCACGTTTTTCCTGCTGAAGTTGGCACTGTGAGTTACAGCCACTTCAAAGTCTGGTGTAAGGGTCTATTAACCATTGGTAATTGAAGTATCACTTTAAATGGCACTGAGTACGCTGCTCTCTCTGGACTATAAAAGGAAAAAAAAAGGTTGCATAGAAAACATAGTTTTATGAAGTCCAGCCTCATTACTAGAATGAATGCGGTGACATTTTGGCAGTGGCTGTGTAATGATTCTATAGCAGGGCTTTCCATGAGGGTCCTATGTAACATGCTGGCTGTAATTTCCTCTCTGTGTTCACCTGTGTTTTGTCAGCTAGTAAATTTGTCATGAACAAATTGGACGGTTAAACTTGTCAGAGAAGCTGATTGCTGTTGAAATAACCTTTACTTTAAGTGCTCATTTCACATATTCTGCCACTTTATTTTCAAATGGCCTCATATAAAGTCCAGATGCTACCAGCACTTTCACACTGTACATTCTGTATGAGCAGGAAAACCTCTGGGTCCATTTACTATGACCGAGTGATTAAAAAAAAAAAACAGTGCAAATATCTTTAAATGACTGAATAGATGAGTAAAACACAGGGATCTGCCCCATAAAAAGGCCTGCACCACTGCTTTTGTAAGGCTACATATATCTGTATGCAGACTAGTTTTTGACTATAAGCGTGGTTGCATTTTACGTTCAGATGCTGTTATCTCAAGCGTTAAATGTAGCATTATAAAAGTGCAGTTGGCACATTTGGAAGCATTTACATAAATCACACTTTCATGACTGTCTTCTTTTAAGCAGGCAAAAAAAAGAAAGAAAAAGAAAAAAAGGGTCCTGGAAAATCAAATTAGGTTTTCAGAGCTTTGCGTTTTGCCTTGCCAACCTCAATATAATAACTGTAAAACTATTACAAACTGAGAAGTGTTGGTGTTGGCAGCTTGTCAGAGCAGGGGCAGTAAAACAGTGCCATTTGAGACAGGTTGACGTTTCATTTGTATTTCTCTGATGAGAAGCGGCGCTATCTGTTAATAATCCAGAGGCATTACCAACAACACACGTGTAAGAATGAGGAATGGTATCATTTCTTTGTCCGCTGTATAAAAAATAGCATGAGTGTGATTGGTGCTAAGAAGTTCATTGCTTTTCCATCAGTATGCCATTTTGGGCCTGGGTACCTTCCAGTACTGTCTGTGCACCATCACTTGGAAATATTACTGTGTTCGAAAGAATGCATTTCCTAGGTTTTGTCATTAAAAAACAAAACAGATGATCAATAAAAAATTAAATTGCAGCTGATGATTGTTAAAGAAAAAGCCACTGTGGACGCCTCAGGTGGGAGAGACGCCTTGGTCAGTGGATCCCCCGCAGGCAAAGGCCAAAAAGAAAAACAGCGGTTAGAATTGCAGGAGTCCCGAGTCAATCCTGTATGTTTTATTTGGTTAGTTTCTCTCAACGAGCTTCTTTAACTACCAGTTATGATGTATGGAGGCCTCAGGCAATGTGCAAGTAAAACAAATCACATAGAAGGTATAGGGGTCTCTGTTGGGGAATTATTTTTCACATTATTTTTGCTGGTGCGAGGATAACTTTGCTTCTTTTAAATTGGTTACTTTCTGTGGGAAGCTGGGAAGCGTGCCAAACTCACTAAAAATAAAGAAATGAGAAAAATTTAATCCCTATCGCAAACACGCCAAAGCCAGGGAGATATTAAAGGCCGTTTCCGAAAAAATAACATTCCTGGAGGCTGGACAATAATTTCAGTTATACCACACGATATTTTGTTTTTGTACATGCGAGACTCATTCTCAGGTCGGGAATGAAAGTTGTTGCTTTTGTTTTGTATCATTTCACTCAGTAGCTGTGTCACTGAGGAATTTACCCAGCCAGAAATAATTTAAAGTGATATTTGGGGTCACTAATGAAAAGGCTACTGTTTCCCCACTACACCCTGGGCAAAGTTAAGTCAAACTTGCTGATATCACGTGGGATTAGACAAGGTTCATTTATTCCTCTGGAAAATTATATTTTAACGAATGAAACAAAATACATTAAATTTCATTTCATTTATTTCACACTTGGTACAACAGTTTCCACAGTTAGTTCTTTCAGACAAACCAACCACACTTTCTATCGGTATAGCACTGTAAATAAACATACATATCATACCATTGAAATGCAGTTAGGTTGATGGAAATTCTGCCAGTTCTGCCAATATAATATAGACTTGCTGACCACTTTATTAGGTACACCTTACCAGGACTGGGCTGGATTTTTAGCTTCAGCACTGCTTCCATAGATTCAACAAGTTGCTGCCTGTATTCTCCGTTTCCTGTTCTTAGCTGAAAGGAGTAGCACCAGGTGTGATCTTCTGCTGCTGACGCTTCACGGTTCAACAGATTGTGCATTCAGAGATGCTCTTCTGCAAACGAGTGGTTATTTGTGTTACTGCAGTTTAAAGCAGTCTGACCAGTCTGGAAACAAGGCATTTTCCCCTGGAGACTTGCCACTTACTGAATATTTTCTGTTTTTTGTACCATTCTCTGCAAACCCTAGAGACAATTGAGTGTGAAAATCCCAGTAGTTCAGCAGTTTCTGAAACACTCAGCCTTCTGGCACCAGCAACCATACCACAATCAAAGTCACTTAAATGATTTTTCTTCCACATTCTAACCATGTCTGCATATTTAGAGTTGCTGACATGTGATTGGCTGATTAGACATTTGCGTTAACAAGCAGCCGAACAACTGTACCTAATAAAGTGGCTAGTGAGAGTAGAAACATCAGTCAAAGTGGGTGTCATGAACTGACTCAAAGTTCAGACAATAGAAGGGGTTTGGTGGAGTCTGCACAGATAAATGCACAGTGGGTTAGACCTTTCAAAGAAAGAAAATAAACCCAAATCATGCCTGCCTGCTGGGGAGACGAGAGAATGTTAGCTACCGCCTACTGGTGATGGCCAGAGGGGCCGATGGCACGATATGGCAGCCTTGCCTCTGTCAGTCTGCCCCAGGGCAGCTGTGGCTACAACTGTAGCTTGCCTTCACCAGTGTATAAATTTGAGAGTGAATGAATAGTGGTATTGTAAAGCGCTTTGAGGGGTCCCGAAAAGCGCTATATAAATGCAATCTATTATTATTATTATTATTATTATTATTATTATTATTATTATTATAAAAAAATAGCTCATGAAAATCCCACACTGCAGCAGCTTGTAGGGTTGTTGTCTTGCTGAACCTGCATTCATCTCTCCCTCAACCCTGACTAGACTCTCAGTTCCTGCTGTTGAAAAACATCATGGCATGATGCTGCCACCACCATGCTTCACTGTAAGGATTGCATTGGCCAGATGATAGTGCTGCCTCCAAATTTCCTCCAAATATGATTGGCACTCAGGCCAAAGAGTTTAATCTTTGTTTAATCAGACCAGACAAATTTGGTGACCATGGTCTGAGAGTGTTTTGGGTGTCTTCTGGCAAACTCCTGGCAGGCTGTCATGTGCCTTTAACTGAGGAGGAGCTTCAGTCTGGCTACTCGACCACACAGACCTGATTGGTGGAGTGCTGCAGAACTAGATGTCCTTCTGGAAGATTTTCCTCTTTCCACAGATGCTGGAATAATGTCAAAATGACCACTGGGTTCTTGTTCACCTCCCTGACTAAGGTCCTTCTACCCTGATCACTCAGATTGGCCGGGCAGCCAAGCTCTAGGAAGAGTCCTAGTGGTTCGAAACTTCTTCCACTTAGAGATAATGGAGGCTACTGTGCTGACTGGGGCCTTTTCTGTATCATTCCCCAAATCTGTGCCTTGACACACTCAGATGTCTGTAGACAACTGCTTGGACTTCATGGCTTGGTTTGCCCTCTGACATGCGCTGTCAACTATGGGACCATAGATAGACAGGTCTGTGCCTTTCCAAATCATGTCTAATTAACTGAATTTACCACTATCAAGTTTTACAAACATCTGAGAGATGATCAGAAACAGGAATGCACATGATCTCAATTTTGAGGATAAAAAGAGATTATTATTTAACTATTATTTAATATATTTTATAGAATTATCAATACTTTTTTATGTTTGTTTCTATGTTTGTTGTATTCATTGACAAAATTTCTGACAGACAAAGCTACATGATGAAGCACTGACTTTGACTTTGATAATCATTATATCAGATCTGATATTGATGGCTCTCTCCTAATTTGAACAGATATTTGTTAATTTACCTTTATTCTGTTTTTATTTGTTAATGTGATGAACTGGGTAGTGATCATTTTGTCTCTACCTCGTCTCGTTTCTGTCATGTCCGCCTGGAGGTTGCGAGGCCAGTTGTGTGTCCGAACAAAATCCACCATGGTGTCAGCAAATGTAACACTGGAAAATCAGTTGCAGAGTGCACAGAAAAACCTGCTCTTCCTCCAGCAGGACCACGCCAACACGCTAAAGGGGCTGCATGCAGAGATCCGCAGATTACAGCAGCAGTGCTGAGAAGGGCCACAAGTAGGACTTCACGCTGCTGTGGAAGACCAACACATTTAATCTCAACTGGCTCTCTCCTGTTTTTTGTGTTAATGTGATGAACTTGGTAGTGATCATTTTAATTGTTGATTAGAGAGTGTGACTCTGTTAGTGCAGCCAAAACGAGAAAGAGAGAGTGGAATGTCAAAACATGTGATAAGTGGAAGGAAAAAAACTGTTGCTGTGGTTTTACCGCCTACACAGTAATTGAGGGGCAATACTGCCCCCTGCTGCCCTGCAGCTGTACTGTCCAACAGCTTTCGTTCATTTTTATTTTTTCACGCATTCCAGGCGCTTTGACATAACTAAAAATCAAACCTAGCGCCTGAATAAACTATCATAAGCATCAAGAAGTTATGACACGTCACACCTGACACAACAACTACTTACTTCGACTCTATCACTAGATGGCGTGTACGCCTCACCCCTTAACAAGTGACAGTTTCTGTTGCTATGGTGACGACGCTCTCCCCGTAAACGGTGGCACGTCCGTAAGAGCTGCTACTTCCACATTTAATGACGTTTAAAGGTTAGTAGACTCTATTCTACTTTTACGTGAGCTGCTTAGTTTCAGCTCACGTAAATTCAAGCTGTGATTCTAACCTTTAACTTTAATGTAACTGGTCAAAAGTCACTGGTCTGGAACATTTTAGGGTTGTATCGCTTAACGTTCAGGTTTCCCATGATGCACCGCTTTATTTTGTCTAGTAGCTCGGGGAGATGATAGGAAACTGACACAGCCACCCCTCTCTTTAACCCAGCGGAGGCGAACCCCTGACAGCAGCATCCTTGACATGCCCCACAAGGCGGACTGCGCTTAGCCGGTGTGGCTAGTCTGTTTATCCACATTTCCCGATATTTTAGAAGATATTCGACGGCCGAGTATTTTTAGCTGTAAGGTAAGCTCTCCGCCATATAACGTCAAGGTACTGTTGTAGCCTTGTTAGCAGTTAAGCTAGGCTAGCATCAATGAAAGCCTCATAGCTTACGTAGTTACCCCGTTTTATTCGAAGGAGGCTATCGGCACATTAAAATATATGTTTCGTTTATCTGAAGCTAATTTTTGTGTGCTTCAGTTTTATTTGGGATTAATCTAAACACACTCAATAAAACTACATTTTAACTTTTAAATTGTTTTGTCTATTCCACGTCAGAAAAAGCCTTAATGTCGTTAATAATGGCATGGCACCTGCTAATGTGTGCGCATTGCTGCAGGACTTTCATCGAAAGTACGGATAAGCCCTGTTGGATGTATTCAGTGTATCCCGAATTTACCTGACCACCTACACAAAGCTAAATAAAACCCCATCTTCGTGCTAGGATTGGTCGGTTGCTTTGTGCGTGCAGCAGGCTGTTTTTGGGTGATTGTAAAGTGTGGTTTGGTGTGACCCACCAGAGAAAGAAAATGTACTGTTTGCTGGACACTGGTCAGCTCCTCCCTGGACCACAGTCGCACATAGCATTGGTTGCAAGGACAGCCTTTGTAATGACCCCTTGAAACGCAGCAATGGCATCCAACAGCACGCGGAGTCAAAAAGACCACAGAAAGTGGGCTGTTTTGAAGCCTTTCACTTCCACCGTTCGCCAGGCCTGATTTACGACTTTCTCTTATTCTTCGGTACAGATAAAGAAGGTCAAGTCGAGAATTAAGTCTCTGGATGAAGATTAACGTTAAAACAATGATCCTCTGGCAGCTACCGCCAGGACCAGCGGAGGCTTCATTTCGGGGTGCTGTCCGCAATGCAGGTGCTGAAATTGAAAGTGTCGTGGAGCGCAGTCTAATAACACGTAGCGTTATCTGTCCTGTTGCAGTTGCAGGCGTTGTTTGTAGTTAGACCACTTAAGCTTTAGCTGCCTCTGTTTTCCTTTTAATGCTTTTGTTGATGACATAAACATGACTCTATGTGAGGACGTGATTATTGTGGAGAGTAACCCAGACTGCATCTTTCCATAAAATACAAGCAACAGATTTAGAGAAGATGCTGGAAGGGAAGCTTCTGTTTACAGTGTGGAATCCAAGGTTGAAGGATGCACGTTTGCGTGCAGTTTCAGCGTCATTACAGGGCGTGACAGCGAAGGAGTTGTGACTGAGGATAGTAGCTATTTGCTAATGTTTCGTTCTGCTGCTGCAGTTCATTGATTATTTATATTCTCTGTGTGGGGAAATACTGGTTGCTACATTAGGAAAAGAGAGTCAAGTAAACACGCTCAAATGGCAAGGATTTACATCTTAGAGGAACTGTCTTTCTTTAATTCACTGAGCATCCATACACTTTTTGAATCACCTCCATGCTATGGCATGAGCCATATTACTAAAGTTGGCAGAGGTCACGTCTTTGCAAGCGGAAAGCTATCAAAGCTATTCTAGGAAGGAGATGGGATGAGAGATATGCTTGCAGCGCAGGGTTTACCGGAAGGACCGCACATTACTCATCAATAATAGATTATCTCCTCAGCCTTTGTGACACACCCCCAGCTGTATGTGCCAGGCTGTGTTTTGGTTATCACATGTTTTCATGGCAAAAACACACAGGCGCGTGAGAGCTAAAACTAGGGAGCATGTTAGGTCAGGTGCATGGGATGTATTATTCATATAAGTTAGATGATGTAAGAGTGGGAAGCTCAGAGATGTTTTATTGAAACACACTTATGATTGCAGTCAGAGGCTGCCTCTGTATACAGGAGGGGATTTTAGCGGAGATCAGTGTTCTCTGAAGCCTCAGCACAGTTTAACAGAGGGTGGAGATATTGAGACTCGCCTCTGGAGACAAGGATGTTCAGTGAAGAGAGTGTGGAAGAAGGTGGGGCAAGCCACACCCAGTGTCACTCACCGTGACATCTGTTAATGTGTTCAGCTTTGATTTAGTGTTATGACTGATGGTGTTATGGACACTTAATGAGAGCATTATGTAATAGAGACATATGTTATGCTGTTTCACTGTTGGGGTCTGTTAGATATTCTGAATTTGAAAGACTCTCACAGAGGAAAAATATTTCCACTGCGTCGCTTTATCAAATTACAAGATAATATGTAAATTGGATTAGTACGTATTAGATTAGTGTTACCTTTTAGATGCCTTTTTTAAGGCCAGCAGGGCCCACTCTGTATTATAAATCAATAGCCTAATTTCAGTGATTGGTCGTTAAGTACAGCAAGCCATTACTGGCCTTTCTCTGCTATAGTCTTATTCTAGCATTGACCCAGGCAATAATGATATCCGACACAGCTACTGTGCATAACAAACAACAAACAGAGTTGCCGTTTTTGCCTTTGGATGATCAGTTTAAATGTAAAATGCCCTTCTTTGTAAATGGGGTTAATGGTATCATCCCGTATTGGCTGGTTTGCTTAGAAAGCAAAGTTAGACCGTATCCTAAATCTCACGTTTACAGCCAAATGGGTGAGAATTGATGTGATTACTTTTTTTATGGTCTTCTTCTCTGTCTCTCTTTTTTTTTTACTCTCTCTGTCTCTACCTCGTCTCCTTTCTGTCATGTCCGCCTGGAGGTTGCGAGGCCAGTTGTGTGTCCGAACAAAATCCACCATGGCGTCAGCAAATGTAACAATGGAAAATCAGTTGCAGAGTGCACAGAAAAACCTGCTCTTCCTCCAGCAGGACCACGCCAACACGCTAAAGGGGCTGCATGCAGAGATCCGCAGATTACAGCAGCAGTGCACAGGTGAGAAGGGCCACAAGTAGGACTTCACGCTGCTGTGGAAGACCAACACATTTAATCTCAACTGTGGTAGGGAGTGCTCATGAATTTAAAACAGAGGCTTTTGCTGAACCTAAGCTTATGCCTGGAACTAAAGGTCAGCAAGATGATGCGTTTCCAGTGCTAAATATGTCTGAAAAAATATGGCGACTTATTGGCAGTAATAGATACACGCAGCAGACATAAATATGGTCGCCCAGGAAAAGGAGAAAACAGCATGATCTGCCCCTGACTTCCTGACATCCAGGGCTAACCTGTTTACTAAAGCTGACGATGAGCTCTCACTAATCTTATTAAATGGACACTGCCATATGGAAAGCACAGACATGTTTTCCCCAAACTTGCTTTGCTGTTAATTAGTATGTGAGGAGCATGCTGTTAGATAGCTGCCCTGTTCTAGCCTCATGTAGCGCAGGCATTGTAAATAACCCTCTTCTTTTTCTTTCATAGACCTGACGTATGAGCTCACTATCAGAAGCTCCGATCCCTCAGGTAAGCATCATTTGTAGTACACAAGCACCAGTTATACCACTGGCATTCAGCGTTGTTGTCATGAGTTAGCGATGCCATTAATTTGTTGTGGAAAGGTGATTACTGCTAATGCTTTACACACTGTTTTGCCCAGTGTGAGCCCTTTGGTCTAGCCCTTTTCTTTTTAGACCAGTCAGTCTTATTAGTTCAATCTTCTGACATGACACTGGTATTCTGACAAGAGAAGCTAAAAAAACTGTTTCAAATTATACTCACTTCCCCCAGGTAAAATATTTTTTTATTCTTTGTCTTTTGGGTTTTAGAATGATATATTGCATTTTCTGTAACTACTTCAAACTGTGCAGCACAAAACCCCCACAGCAGTAAAGGCTGTAAATCAGTGTTTTTTCCTTTGAAATAGAGGTCTGTGTCAGTGGACAGGCCTGGGAGCACAGCACTCTCCCTGTTCCCACCCAAGAAGTATTGCAGTGTGGGCCTCCCTGCTGTTTATTGCAGCTCCCATTGCTCATTGCCACCTGCCCCTCCCCCATAAAACCAGGGCCATGACATGGAGTGACATCACTGGTCTGAATCACATGCTGCTCCACAGCACAGCCTCAAAGGCACCTGATAGGCGGAATACAATTTAATTTATGTACAAACTATTGATGGCCACACTGATGTGTGCAAGTGAGTATGTCACCAGGAGCACATTACGTAGTTGGTGTCCTTAAAGGCCCAGCCTCAATCAGTATTGTCAAGGCCTCCAGTCAGAAGCACTATCATGTTAGTGGGGGACATCTCAGAGATTGGAGTGCAGGAAATGAGATTATGTGTCACAGCACTAATGCACACACTGCTAAATGCTCACTTTAGCAGGGCCCAGCTGTTCTAGCTGTAGCAAACATGTACCAGCCCCTCCTTCAGAAAGTGAAAAAAATGATATAACATTGCTGTAACCACCCCTGTATTTAATTAGACTAAATGAAGGAATTGCAAAGGATTGAGGATTTCTACTGAATAAAAAATACACAAATGTGCTTCATTCCATATTTTTTGCACATATACAAACATAGCTATACATTGATTGTACCTGGGTGGGGCAAGGCTGGGTGGGGGCAGCAGTGATGGAGATCACATGGGAGTACTCTGTCTACCAGAGATGTAATGTGAGACAGGAGCTCTCTGCCCACTGCAGATGAGTCTCTGTAGGATCATACCATCTCTGTCAGCCTATAGTCAGCGTCTGCACTTAATGCACTAATGATTAGTCCGGTGGTCTTTGTTTCATATATATATATGTATGTATGTATATATGTATATATATATATATATATATATATATATATATGCTCTTATGTCATTTTTAATATTTTGCTGCCAAGGAGCCAGACTTTCTTGTAGTTTTTTAAAGTGGTGGTTTGTTGTTATTTTTTGTTTGTTTATTTTGTCATTAATCATTCAAGCATAAAAATGGTAGCTAAGTCAAGGGATGAACCAGCAAAGAAGCTATTTTAAATTGTATCTTTAGGCACTTTGTTACTAGCAGTCACAACAACACAAAATTTCTTCCAGTTTCTTTAGTTGTGTAAAGGAAAAATGCCAAAGACTACACAGTTTAAGAGAGTTAAGATTTACATGAGTATTTTTGCACCAATAAAGTGATTCCCAAAGAGCTGTTAGCTGAAAACTTGGCATGTCTCAGCATGGTGTGCAGTGTCCATAAAACTGAACAAGCAGAGGACAGATAGAAGAAATGTTAGGTTTTAAAAATGACCTACACTAGATAAACAGTATCTGAAAGTCGTTTCCAACAGAAAGACCTGTCTTGAGACCTGAGAGATGCATCTGACCCTTCATTTGATTCATCTTCTGTTCACTGAAAGCCTCATCAGAAATGATGTCAGTGGAAGTGCGTCTGTCAAGAAGCTGTTATTAAGCAAGGGAAATGAGGACAAAAGGCTGAAGAATTGCACTGATAGTCATTGGCAACAGGTCTTTACAGAGTGATGATTCCAAACTTGAAATTTCTTTAAAATTTCTTTTATTTATTTTTGTTCAAATGATTGTCGGTATGTACGGAGGTATTCAGGATAGAGGGACAACAGAAATTGTCTACAGCCGTAAAACACAGTGGGGGCTCTGTCATGGTTTGGGGCTGCATTTCAGCAAGTGGAGTTCGGGATCTCATCAAAATTGATGCAATTATGAAAGCAGAAAAGTAGAATACCATTGCAGCACCATCTGGAGTAACAACGTACTAGCAACAGCTTTATTTTCTTTATTTTTCAGATCCCAAACAGATTGCTAATGCAGTCAAAGCATAGTTGGATAGAAAAACATAGAATGGATTGGCCTCATTAGAGCTCAGACCTCAACATTATTAAGACTGCTTAAAGAAAATTTCAAGAAAGCTTGTCTAAGAGAGTTCAGGCTGTGTTGAAGAATAAAGGTGGTCATATCAAATATTGACTTTTATGTTAGAATTATCAAACTATTTTTCCTTTTATTCTGTATTTACATGTATGTTTGCATCTTTCAGTAATTGCTGCACTATTTCCTATTTTCCTGTCAACATATAAAGGAATGTTGGGTGGCTTGAGACTTTTGCACAGTATTCCATGTAAGAGCTGTTGGGTTTTTTCTGTGTGTGCAGACAGCAGCGAGGCCCGATGCAGGGAGCTGCAAAGGAGGTGTGAGGAGCTGGAGGCCCAGTTGAAGAAGAAAGAGGAGGAGAACACAGAGCTTCTCAGGGACCTGGAGCAAAAGAACGCCATGATTTCTGTCCTGGAAAACACCATCAAAGAGAGAGAAAAGAAGTACCTGGAGGAGCTTAAGATGAAGAGCCATAAACTGGCTGTTTTGTCTGGGGAGTTAGAGCAGAGAGCCAGTACCATTGCTTACCTTACCTCACAACTACACGCCACTAAGAAAAAGCTGTTAGCCAGCAGTTCCTCTGAGGCCAGCCCTAACGCCAGTCCTGTCACCTCGTATAAGCCCACGCCTCCACCGGCCAAGGACAGGCAGCCTGAAACCCCACGTCGCCGCATGAAGAAGAGCCTCTCCCAGCCTCTACATCCAGAGTTGACAGAGGTGTATCGCCTTGGAGCGGACGGTAGACGGATGGTGCTGCGGGAGACAGTGGATGCCATGCCTGACCCAACACCCTTCTTGCAGGCAGGCAGAGAGTCTCCTGAACCACAGGTAGTTCGTGAGCGGCCTGCTGTCATCCCTCCCATTGCCCCTGAGCGCTCACATGCTACTCCACTGGGCGCTACGGCAAGTCCGCGACACAGCCCCGCACGGGACCGTCAGTACAGGGCTCACGTGGGCGTGGCACACCGCATTCCACATGGCACTCCTCCCCTGGCTCCGCCACAGGCGGACGTGGAGACTCTGGCAGTGGACCAGGTCAACGAGGAGAAGGTTGTGCGGAAGCGCTCGGGAGCCGACAGGACAGTTTAACACTGCACTGCAAACCTGCACCTTAAATGCACATCTACTGTATACACACCACACTGCAAGAACAAGAAGCAGCCTGAACCACTTTGTAGCCTGCTTTTGACGCAACACTGCAATATTAAAAAAGAAACTATGAAAGTATATTATGATTTGGTGATGGTATTCCATTAGGACTTTTGTTTTTTTTTCATATACAGTAGAAATGGACTACTATAAAGCATGCCAAATGTTTATTTACTGTACACCCCAGTGAGTCCTTGTACTATCACACATTGACTTTTTGCTTAGGCTTTCACTTCATTCTGTCTTACATGGTGCACACAACAAATTCTTAGCCAAATATCTGCATCAGTGCCTGCTGAACCAGTTTTACCATACACGAGCTCCATAATGTAGTCATGGATAATAGTTATATTTACATATCTCTGTCTTCTTCATCTTCTCTGGACATATCAACAAACTGTATAACAAGCTGTGTGCAGCTGCTTAGGATAGAGCTGAAATAATTAAACTATTACTCCCTGAATGTCTTTCATCTGCTTGTGATATCAGTATAATAACAGCCCTGTAGGTATGAGCTGTGTAATATGCAATTAGACGATTGGCAGTTGCGAAGGTGAAAACTGGACTCTCATCTTTTCCTTTGCTGACTGGAAAAACAGCAATAGGCGTGAGAGAGAGAGCGACAGCGAGTGCGTGTTTCTGAGAGACAGTGTAAGCCACTGTGACAACTAAATTTTAGTTTCAACATTTATCCATTGATGTTGTCATGCAAGGGCATTCTTTTCAAAAACACTGCTGTAATAGGATTTTTGTGATATTATTAATTGTACTTTATAAAAGCTGTACATTTGTAATGAATTCCTTTTTTTTTATTTATTATTGATTGTAGGACTCAATAGAAAGTACAACAACACCTCAGATATTCACTGTAGTTACACCACCAATGTGACGGTAATTAAAATCACTAAATAATCTGCTTTTCACTGTAAGGTGTACTATACAAAACAGTACAATAAACAATAAATGATTTTTTTCAAAGGGTTACTGGGTTTCTGTTAGTGGCTGATGGGCCACACTGAAAGTGTTCTCCATGATCCAAACTGTGGCTGTTTTGCACACCTGTCTACACCAGCAGCCATGCAGTCACATGACTATAACTCACAATACCATTGTTATGCTAGACCCATTTACAGAGTCTGTTGTTCTTAGATTTAAACAAAAATAAAAACTGAATCACATCAGGAAAAAATCTGCCTTTTTATACTTACCTGTGTATGTACTTCTACCAGACACTAGGTGTCCCAATTTTTAAAAGAAAATGTCACTGAAGGGATATTAGTCACTCTATGAAAACAAAGACTGCATTACATGTAAACAATACCTTAAAAACATAAGTCATAGACCAAAAAACATTTGTAAAACATAATATTTTACTTCAATGATTTGGTTGTAAGAACCAGTTCTTAGGGCAAAAATGTTACTTTAAGATTAAATGTATACTTAGTCTTACGAGTCTCGAGTTTTGCCTTAACATGATAATAGAATCAGAATTTGGCACAAAGACATGAAAGCATGAATATATCCATTGAGCCTGTGGTGGTGTGAAAATGTGCAGGATATTTACTGACACACTTAGGCCTGTTAGTACTAGCTGAGCATCCTTTAAGTGCGACAGCCTATCCTTAGTATTGTTGCTGACCAGGACCACAGTGTACCTATAGTCTGATGGCTGCCTCCAGCAGGTTCACTGTACTCAAAGGAGGTCCTGTTAAAGTGGCTGACGAGTGGATACTGTGTGACAGAAGTTTTGGAAAAGCTATTAATTTCCTAAATATTTACAGTACAACTATATTTAGGGTCACATTTGATGCAAGAAGTAAATTTCCTAGTGGGCCTTCCTGTGCGGGCTTCCCTACCCAGTCCAGAGTGCTTTTGTGGTCAATTCTAATAGAAAAATGCTTTATGTCTGCCCAATTCAAATTATACTTGTTTATTCTCCGTTTATTCCAGAGGTGGCTCCAAACAACTACTAACTGTCCTTTGCACAGCCTGAGCACAGGGACCGACGCACGAGCACCACAGATGAGTGATTAAAATAAATTTTATTTTTGATATGGCATATTTGGTTAAACTCACTTAAGGTAGGCTTTTCTCAGTCTTTACAGGTACTCTGTATTGAGACTAAATGCAGTTTTTATAAATCATTTGGCATAACATTCTCTTTCCTTTTAGGTTCATATTTACAATCCAAAAGGCCACTTAATGCACTTTACAGGACTGCTATTGATGGACATTTACACACAATAATAAACACACAATAAACAACAAATACAGTTTGTTTTCTTACTCTTCTCAAAAATAGCATAAAATTATGTCCTAGTGGTGACATACCAAAGAACCAGTTTCAAGGGGTTAAAACGTTCACTCCTGACTTGAGAGCATTTGAAAGCGCTCAAGTTAAAAAGTGCACAGAGGGGGAAATATATATATTTTTAAAGTCCTTTTTGGCATGCCCCCACAATAAGGAAATTTTTTTTTTCAACGACAAATGACAGAAAGTGCTTTGTTGTCAACGTGGTGTTGGCTTCACAATCCCTCAAATCACTACTGAGTATTATTTTAACTTGTACGAACTCGCTTTAATTTCTAAGAGCTTCACTTTGTCTTGATATGCGATGAAGACCTTCAGGCTTGCCACGTCTTGCCTGCTCCGTCACTGTGCAGGATCTAATATCTTGGCTGGCGATGTCAATTTCTTCTTTTGAAAGCCTGGACAGAGAAATGACTGTGTGTTATTTCAAAAGACTTACAACAAAGCTGGACAGAGAACAAAACTCAAAGTGCAAACCTGAATCTGTAAGAGTCAACTGATTTAATTCTTCCTCCAGCTGCTCGGTGCTAATATTCAAGGGGCGTTGAGGTATGTCGGGCAGAGAACTGAGGATGGACTCAGCAGAGGGCTGCAGATTGGTTGCTGGGACTGTGGGTAAACCTGAGACGGAATCTGGCTTTGAATCATTCAACAAAGATTTCAGTTCTTCCTCCAGCTCATCCATGTCTTCATCTACAGAACAAAAACACAAAGAGACATGATTAACTTAGAGCTCTATTAAAATCAGATATAAAGCATCTTGTAGATACAGCTCAAACAGAATGACTTACCTGCAGCAGTCACACCGCTGGATATAGTCTGGTTCACCTCATCTTGAGTGTCACATAACTGTTTACAGAGAGGATACATGAAGATCGTTAAATGCTGGAGTTAACTAAAGTGGATCTATTATGCCTTCTCCTTATGTTTTTGTCATTCATATATTGTTAGAGTGATGCATTCTCATATTAATTATGACTAAAGTTTCAAGTTATGAGGTCAGTCCACATGTACATTTTAAGAAAAAGTATAAAATAACCACTTAAGACTTTAGTCCAACAATAATTAAAGTAACTTAACCATGCTGTCATATAATAACACTGAAAAGTATTTTCTACCTGGGTTGTTGTATTTTGTATTCTGTTTTTGCACCATGTGATCACATCAGTAATTTTTCAGAGTTGCACATCCCTAGTTGCTATCATCTCCTCCGCCATGGCCTGTTTGTACTCAGTGATGTTTTTTGTACAGTGAAAACACATTTACTTGTTGTTTTCATATTTAGCAGGAATTGTGCTTTGTTGGAGTTTTTTTTGAAGCAGTTCCCTTTTTAGGTGCTTTGTTATGTTGCTTTAGAGATGGTGGTGACTGTCAAAGTGGAGCCAATGAGAACTGATAATGTTATCAGAGTTGCTAAATTCTTATCAATTCCCATCCCTAAGTATATCTAATATCAGCACTGATACCATTACTTTTAACCTATAAAAGGCAGCTTATGTAGGGGAGAGCTGTGTGTCATCATCAGTTTGCAAATTCTGAACACATCATAATGAGTCCTACTTAAAAATAATAAAACATGCAATTAAGTTGAACATAAAAAGAAGTTGTGTACCTCCTGGATTTGATCCACAAGGCTCTCAGCGCGCTCCACAGTCACGTCTTTGAGAGAGAGCCTCAGGGCAGCCACTCCAGCCTGATATGCTTGCATAACCTAAAGACATGAGACAACAACCAGCTTGGTTATAAACAGCTGTACAATAAGGCTGTGGCAGCTCCTGTTAGTGTTGCCCTTACCATCTTATCACTCTGTGACTGGGCTATTCGATCCAGGATTTCCCTGATGGACTCCAGCTTGGCAAATAAGTTGTCTGCTCTCTTTTCTACCCTCTTGCGACCTCTCAAACACCTCAGTGCCTTTTTGGATTGACAGCAAACATAAATAGGTGCTGTGACTGCCATCGCATATTTGGTTGCAAGTGCTTAAATGACTTTTTTTTTGGTTTTTTAAACAGTCAACATTAGTAATAACCTGTGATTTCTTCCCTTCCCGCAGCAGAATCCTTGCTTCCTCTTTGCACCTGCAATTAGATCACGTAAAGCAATTTCAGCAAAAAATCTGTCTTTCTGAATCACTGTTCCTAAAAAATAAAATAAAATTTAAAGAAATCTGATGACACGAGTAGCACACAAACCAAATCAATCGTTTATTATAAAATGTGAGTTACTTGTCAGCCTCGAGACCCAATTTCTCAACCCGCTCTCCAAGCAGTTTCTCACTGCGCTGCAGCTGATAGATGCCTATGTCCACGTCACTAACCGCAGACACGCGGTCCTGTCCAGGTAGACAAAACTTAACAATCTGTAAGAGAAAACACACAAGGACAGAGAGATTCCTTACATAAAGATGTCGCTGAAAATGTTAAATGTGCAGATTGTTAATGGTGGGCAGACTTACCTTCTCGCCTTCGTGCAACGAAACCATGACTTGCTTGTCCCTCTGCAGCTGCAGGAGCGCCATGCATAGGGTGCCCTCATCAGCACAGATGTTAGAGGAGAGGGTGCAGAGATCTTGAAATGACACAATGGAGCAGCTTGAAAATTCACTGCTGCGGTAGACCCTGAGTAATTCTGCTGCTTTCTCCTGGGGAACAAAAAGAGAATTTTGTATTTTAATGGCTGCCAAATACTGGAGAAATGGAAAGAGAAATCCCTCATCCTAGCTGCAATTCAAAATATGCAAGATGCATTTAATTTGGCTCACTAATATGCAGCATCAGGGCTTGCCATCTACTGCAATATGAAACTTAAAGTGCATTATGGGAGATCAAGATAAGAAATGCGCACAGTAATAACTTAGAGAAGTTATTGACAGTATAACTAAAAATGTAAAGATCTCAGTGGCTTGAATGTATGGATGTCAGCTGCTATGAATATGTGAACTTTAATGAGAACAACAAACCTTTACTAGTTCAATGATGACAAAAGACTCCTCCAAATGCACCCGGCTGCTACCCAAAAGAGCCGAGAAGGTCCACTTTAGAGGCTTCACTAGCAGCAGACCCACACCCCAGGACAACCAGCCACAGTCCACATTAGCAGCAAACTCCGACTCCCTCTGGATCTTCCCGCATCTGTCCGCCGAAAAAGAAAAATACAGACAATCTAAGTAGACTGACCCAGACTGGCAGGCTTAGTGGGGGGGCAGAGATTCACTTACGTGGCCATGGACTGGATGACAGTAGCCAAGCCAAGCGGTGACTTTTCTTTTCTCTTGAAGATTTTGTTCAGTTCCTGCAGATTGACACAGACGGTGCGGCGGTCCTTGCAGCTCTTCACGATCAGAGCCGTCCAGAAGTCCATCTTACTGTCCCAGTCCGTAGTGTTGACGTCTCGGTTCTCCTTGAAGTCGGAGAACATAAAATTCATTCGCTCATCGTCGTCCCATTCGAGGGGGAGCGTAATTTCAGCGGAGTTCGACATTTGTAACACACAAAGCTAAAGTTTCAGTAAACCTGTTTATCGGCTAGCTTGCTGTTTTTGCCAATCGGACAGCTGAAGCAGCTAGCTTAAAACCGAAGCAGCGTTTGGTTAGCTAGCAACATCCACCAGGAGCCCTTTAAAGAGAGCCAGAATATCACCGCTTAACGTTTAATAACATGTACGTCCAGATGTCACCTGCTGGGCTAATCCTACCATTCACATGCCACCTGCCACAGCAAACTGAGCTGCTTAACCATTAATAAAATATCTCGCTAACGCGAGCTATCGTTTCACATTCCAACAACAACAATGTGTGGTAACATGAGTTCACAATTCTCAGCCGTACGGAGAGGCGGCAACAGTCGTTCCACTGCGTAAAAACGTCGGGGTGACCCACAGGGACACCCCGAACAACAAAGCAAGCGCCCCTTCAACTTGCTCATGAATGCTACGGTTGCGCCGCTTATGAGCATACGAGAGGTACGCAACGTCTCTTAATGGAGTCTATGGACATTACCCATCATGGACCAGATTTCACAGTGTAAATGAAGGTGTGTCCCAACGCATAACCACATAAAATACAAGACACAAGACTATTTGGAGCCCATATTTAATTAATTATAGGATTTAATTATACAGCCATCCCAGTCATGTGCAGATGTACACAGCAAGAATTAATACAGTTTATGACTGTTCAAAGCATAGACTGCGACAGGATCTTGACCTTGTCTTATAATTCAGTGATTTTGTTATAGTTCCATAGAGAGTGTCGGATAGTTGGGAAACGTGAAAGGAGTTTAAATACCTGGGATCTACCATCCAAAGCAACAGACAATGCACAAGAGAGGTAAAGAAGAGAGTGAAGGCAGGGTGGAGCGGGTGGAGGTGTGAGAGGCAGTTAGTTTGGAGACAAGAAATGACAGAAAGACAAGAGGGCAAGCTGTCAGAATTAGAAATGAATACGTGGAGACAGAGTTAGAAAGGCGACGCTGGTTGGGACATGTGCAGAGTAGAGATAGTGGGTATACTGGACAAAGATGTTGAAGATGGAGCTGCCGGCCAGGAGGAAAGGTTCAGACCGCAGAGAAGATTCACAGAGGTAGTGAAAGAGGAAAAAACAGAGGGTTGGTGTGACAGAGGGGAATCCTAGGGATGGGATGAAATGGAGGCAGATGAGCTGCTTTTGTGACGGGAGCAGCCAAAAGAAGAAGAAAGAGAGACGGTATGGTATTGCTCCCACAAATCCCAAAGTTTTGTACATGACCTCCAACTCAGCCATTATTTAAGTCCCAATGTCATGAAAAGCAGGGAAATCTGCAGCATAACAAAATCAGTGAATGTCTGTGTAAACTCATCTTATAAACATCATAAGAAAACCGAACTGCCCAATGCTCAAGTAGGTCTACGTAGTTTCTGTGTTTAGTTTGTTTCTCATGCGTCCTCAGATCTGCTCTGACACTTTGTTAGAAATGCAGATCCAAAACAGATCCATGAATATCTCATTTGTAAAGATAAAGATAGTCAAGGATTTATGTTATTGCATTGTTTTATAGAGATATACAATGTCATGCAAGTAGCTACTCAGATCAGCTAGCCAAGATGTTGGAAGTTAGAAAACTGATGAAGATTTACTGTCAATTGTACAATTACCAGTGAATGATCCAGTAGATGCACATGCATCTCATTGTCACATTAGTATGATATACAACGTAATCCAAAAACAACATTACCTGGAGCAGTGATGCAGCAATGACATGACACTTGTGTTATTAAGTCAAAGAACATGTTATTCTTTCAGATATCAAGGGATAGTGCATAAAAATAGTTTAAATACTCTTTTAATTAATTGCCTCGCTTAAAACATCAGAGGAAACAGCAGACTTTTATTTCCATGGCAAAAACAGTCTTTTACTCGTTTGGCACGTTTGACACATATCCAGGAACACCTCTTGTTGCTCGAACGTGTCTACTTGGCACTGAGATCCACCACCAGGTGCTGGTAGGCTAGGGTGTTGCCTTTGAAGCTGGCGGCAAGCAGGATATCCTTGTTGTCCACGGACACCAAATTGAACCCCCTTGGGGCTCTCATGTTGAGCTCTTGGAAGGGCTGAAAGCGCTGAGTGAGATCATCCCACAGGTATACCCTGGAGAAGGAGAAATCGCTTCCAAGAATGAGGTACTGGCGAAGGCCCACGATGAAAGGATACACTGCCATTGAGCCCCTGGAGGGGAGAGTCTGGATTTCCACAAAACGCTGCCCTTCCCAGCGGAGGATCTTGGAGTCACCGATGAAGCGTGTTAGACAGAGGTAAAGAACTTTCCTCACCCAGAAGTGCTTAACCATCTGTACATCGGCCAGCTCTGTGATCTGCGAGTGGAAAGCAAACTGTTTTTGGCTTCGGTTCCACTGGTAAACCACCGGTGGTTGAGAGGCGCTGGAGAGGATGAGATGAGGCTTTCCCCCAACGTCAAGGAACTCGACGTGGGTGTCTCGATGCCAGGGATGGAGGGACTGGTGGGAGTAGAAACCATTGCTGTACCACCGATAAATGCTAGTGGAGCCCGCCTTGGAGCTGTCTGCTACCACAAAGTACCATTCGCCGTCCAGCTGGAAGGTCTCCACAAAGTTGGGCTTCCTTACTCGACTGGTGTCAATGTCTTGGATCTTTACAAAGCGCTGCGGGTCCTCTTCCCACCTGTGTTAGCAGAAATGCTGTCAGTGAATTCCCAAAACTTTAAACAATTAGCTCAAAAAGTTAGATGAGTGGTTCACTGACTCTTTTATCACATCTTTGATAAAGGTAAGAGCAGCAGGTCAGCTTAGCCTTGCAGAAAAGCTGCAAAGCATCAGTAATTTTAGGCTATGAGGTGAAAATATTTTGATAAAACCTTGTGTGACTGGTTGCTTCATCTGGCAGCAGATCACAGATCTGACGAGTCTGTTTTACATTATAAAGGTAAAAATACACCTGCCAAGCAGTATTTATTTTTCAAACAAACTGCAGCTTGTACTGCTGAACGCTCACTGTAACTGACAGCTTACTGCTAACACGACTGCTTCTTGCCACAAGCCACTAACCGCAGCCTTAGCTAGCAGTGTGGCTATTGAGAGGTGGGTCAGCTGTTTGCTCCTCTTGGCAAGTGTTGCGGACTGCAGAGTCTAATGAATGGAGCCTGAGCTACTCCATTTGCACTCTGAACTTGGTCAAGCTTCATCCTTGTACCTACCTCTCAGAAATCTTTTTCACTTGTGTGAAGGCTTTCTGCCAGAAAGGCTTTGCAAAGACAGGAGAGGTAGTACATAAAGAGACAAACGTGCCCACATTAGAATGACATAATAGTGGATAAATGGCAAATGCGGGTTTGAATTCCACAGTAAACCTAAATTTAGTGTTGATTTTTTTTTTCAAAAGATCTGTGTTTCAGTTTTCAGAACCAAAAGTACTTGGATAAGTTTAGGCAACAAAACTATTGGTTAGGGTTAAGAAAGAATCATTGTTTGGGCTAAAACAGACCCCATTCACACTCTTAACCAAGTGTCAGAAAAACCTGGCATAAAGTTCTAAAGACAATATTGACCTGTGTGTGTGGATCTGTGGCGTTCCTGCACTATTTAAAGCTCCACTGATTCTCCCTGTTTCCCTGTATTTACTCAAGCTTCAAATTTACCCAGCAGATATTAGAGTGGAGTTACTCTCTCAAAAATAAAGGGAAATAAAGCACTATGTACTTAGCTGCTCATATTTAATATACTGGAGACATTTTACAGGTCACCAGTGGTATGTGAGAAATAACTAACAAATCTTACTTGTATATGTGAGATCCACCGAAAAGTTGAGCCACGACCATGTAAAGTGTGTTGTTAATCACCACGGGTTTGCAGTACACGGCGGAACGAGCTTCAAGAGAGACACACGGAAGTCAAAAAACATCAGGACCCGTTCCTTAACACAGCGCTGTACACACTCATATGCCTTCATCCTCAGCAACTTACAGGTAATGTTGTGAAACCTCCTGAAAACCATTTCCACGTGATCCCATATATACAGGGTGCAGAACCCCGAATCAGGCTGAGCAAAGGCCACAAACTGATCTCCATTGAACTCATAGGACTCAACTGACACAGAGTGGAAAGGGAAGGTTTCGTACACTGCAAAATCTGTAGGAGGAGAAACCAGAGGCAGCGTCATGGCCAGAGACATAAGAGAAGTCTAAGTACTCAGTCAGGAGTTCAGTCTTAGTAGTCTAATAAAAGATTAAGGTTAAACCTGCACTGATGCAGTTGAAGTCTCGTGGTGTAAGGTCGCGGATTCTGCGTCCTTGGAATTCAAAGGGGCTGGCGCAGTAGATGGCGGGAACAGAAGTGTTGGTCTTCTCCATCCAGTCTACAAGCCACTTGATTTTACAGTCACAGCGGAAAGAGTTCCCACGCAGGTCTCTAAGTAGCAGGTGGGGATCAGGGAAAACATGTGAAGTTCAGTCTTGAAAGCTCAAACTTAAATCTTTCAGCAAAGAGTGCAAATCAAACAGTTCATTTTTTAAAAACACGTGTGTGTTTCAAACAAGAACCGAAATAGAAACAAAGCTCATGCTCCAGTCAGACAGCTCTGTGGACCATTTGGCTGGAGTGTGGCGCTCCACTGAGGCCTTGGGGGAATCTGAGCAAACCACTGTTCATAGTGACAGACTGTAGGGTCAAAGCACTCGAGATGTTGAGGCGGATTTCAGTGTGGGCGCACTTACAGATCTGTGAGGATGTCTAGATGTTTGAAGAGATCTCTGGGCAGCTGCTGCAGGTTGTTGTTTGAGAGAGAGCTGAAAAAACAGTTGTCATCGTGTCGTGATTTGTAGTAAGCAGTTGGCTGCGTTAGTTGCATAAATGCATAGATTATTAGCTCGGTCGTGTTGCTAAGTAACAGGTTCTTTATTGGAAAGCGTTACCAGAAAAGTACTCACAGATGAGTCAGAGATTTGAGTCCTCTGAAGGTATGCTTCGAGAGAGCCTGGATGTCGTTGTTCTCAATGAACCTGAGGAAGGAACAAATTATTCATATGTCACACAGTGATGTTAAACTCTGAAATTCAGCCATTCGTCATTGGACGGAGGCTGTAGCAGCAGTAGGGTTTTCAGGGATTAGTCAATTTTTTTCAAGGGCTGACTTTTTCTTTTGTGTTGTATTTTTTGTATTGGATGTATTCTTATTGAATGATCCTTGTATTAACTGCAAGGAATTGAAACACTAAATGTTAAAAAATATATTTCCGTCTTAGCTTTATCTGATTAAAATCCACAGTCTTACAGAGAGCTCTGTGTTTAGCATCATTTGATCCTGTTCTGTCTTTGTCTATTGATATCCGAGGACATGCTGTACATCATGTGCAGACTCTCTGGCTGGATATGATATTATTACTTTATTAGAGTTCACAGCGGGTAGCGATACTGGCACTGATGCAGGCCAGCAGCCTGAGGCATAGCCATCATGGAAAGCTGCACACCCCAGAGCATCAGCTAACGACTCTCTAAAGCTCATCGATTCACAGATGGCATATTCAGCTTGATCACACTGCAGAAGCAAAACACTTGCTGTCGCGGGCAAATTTATTTTCTGGTTTACTTTTGGCATTCTTTGCAATACTGCGGAATTCTGTGCAGATTACTGTTATGCACTTCACTGAGAAATAAGATGCCCTCTATGGAGGACCGTTACTGACTAAATGAATATATTTGGGATTGAATTAGTTAATTATTGTATAACATTGAAACTGCTTCTGTATTTATTTAGCTATATTTTTTTTTCCATTGACTTTTATCCATCAAATTATTATCTAAAAGTAATTTGTTCACGTAGCTACTTATGTACTATTTTCACATTGCCTTTTTATTTCCCCAAAACTGTTAATAAAACGTATTTCTGTGTTTTATTTTTACACTTTTGCTTTGCTATCTAAAGAGAAAAATGAATTCTTTAATCAAAGTGTGAAAATAAATATGGAAATGAATACAAATATAAAGAAATATAGACACAAACTGAAACAAACCTGCTAATGTCTCCTACATTTTATGTTGGGTTTTTAAAATTATTTATTTATTTGTTAGTTTTGCCGTTGTGGTCCTCCATATAAAGACTTACTTTATAGACATAGTTTAATGAATCCCTGACAGCTCCAATGAAATAATTATTTTTAAACATAATGTAACAGTAGCACAGTAAGATTCAGTTTATTAGTTTGGAAAATATGTTATTTCTATTTAAAAAATACAGCGCTGTGCAAAACTCCTCATTTCTTTATGTTTTACCAAGAAATGGGAGGGGCAGCGATTTATTGAAATGGGCAAACATAAAAGAAATATGGAAATGGAGTATATAAGGAAAACACAATATATATTTATACAATGAAAAATCAATATTTGGTATGATAATAGTTCTCCAGGCTTCTTGAAAGACATTCAAAGTTCTTCTTTGGATGTTTGCTGCCTTTTGTTCTGATCTCTGTCACCATGATCCCATGCTGATTCAATAAGGTTGAGGTTCAGTGGAGGCCAATCCATGACCGATACTGTTGCAGTATCTTTTACCTGTCCAGGTATGTTTTCACTGCATTGGAAGTGTCATATTTTGAAATTAATTCTTTTCTGAACTGTCTGCTATGACTGGAAACACACAGTGTTATGACTGACACAGGGACCAGTCAGGAAAGTAGAATATAGAAAGGTTTGTGAGAAAAAGGAGGTCTGAGAGATTTTGGGATACCAACTGACTGTAAGCTTTGAAAGTAATGAGCAAAATATTTTTTTTCGCTTAGTTCAATGGCAATCCATTAAATTTAGACTTAGTGATGATCTGTTCTGCAGAGTTGTGTACCATTTGGAGCTGATGAATGAGTTTTTTAAGTAGACCGACAAGAATGGCATTAAAAATAATCCAAAGAAAAAGGCGTAGTCTGGAAATGTCACACAGGTGGAAGAAGGCTGACAGTAAATAATCACTGAGGTGGGCAGCAAACGAGAGAGTATTGTCCAAGATGAATCCAAGACTTTTGACACTTGTACAAGTGTGGACCCAACAACTATCTATAGAGACAACAAAAGGGTAGATTTTTGAAAGAGATTACTTTGAGCCAATAAGGATAACTTCACTTTTATTGCCATTTAGTTTGACCTGATTGATTGCCATCCAAGTGGTGATGGCTTATAGGCAGGTGGTGGGGATAAAAGGGTGAACATAGGTGTTGGGTTTTTGGAAACATAAAGTTGTGTTTCATCAGCATAGAAATAAAACTGTATTCCAAAATTATAAATAATAAATTATGAATAAATTATGAAAGTATTACAAATTATGAGTCCCAGCATCTCTGAGGGACACCATGTGTGAATGAGGCTGATAGAGAGCCTTGAACAAACTGTTTCCTGTTAGAAAAGTAGGATGTGAACCATTGTAGTCCTGTGTCCTGGATTCCAATGCTAGCAGTCATTCTAACAGAGGATGGAGAATTATATCAAAATTGGGACTGAATGTCAAGGAGGATGAGGGTGATGAGAAGCATGGGATCTAATCCAAAAAGGAGGTCACCTGTGATTTTAACAAGAGCTGTTTGAGGTTATTGAATATAAGGTTATTCCATTTGTCTCATCCAAGCTGAGTAGGTTGTTGATTAGGCAGTATCTGTAAGTATTGAGCCAATCTACATGCACAGGCAATTCAATTTTCTTAGACAGCCTTTTGAGTCATCCCACAGGTTTAGGCTGGCAGAGCTCAGAGGTTTATCATGAAGAAGACTCTGACAGTGCGGGTTTTAAATAGATCCAGCGAGTTGAATACACAGGTTAAACTGTAATCATAGTCATTTACCAAAGCAGCAGCAGAAATAAAGGGTGAGGAAATAATTAAACTGGTGAGTGTGGTGAGATTAATGCTTTTGAGGGGGAAGTGTCATGTTTCTGTTGAGATTTTTTAGAGGCAAAATATTGTCACAGAGGGTAAGCTTTGATCTGAGATGGGAAACTCCACAGCATTAAAATGAAAAGGTGTGACCCCAGAACGGCAGACTAAATCGAGCATATAGCCCTTAATGTGGGCAGGAAGATGAACACATTTTCAAACAGATCTAACAAAGATTGAAGCTATCCAGGGTGAAAATAAAATCTTGTCCAGAAGCATCAATAGCTTTATTAAGATTAATATTAAAATTATATCTGTGAGTAACTACATAAAGGTCAGCAAAATTGTTTAGTGAGTTTGGTAATAAAACACTAAACAAAGAAAACAAAATATTTCAGGTACAAGGACTGAACTGAAAATGAGAGAAAAAGCAGCCAATGTCCAAAAAAACAAAGAAACTTTCAGAAAGCCTGGAGAACTATTGATCAAGACCACTTTGGGAAATCACAAGAAAATCTGGAAGCAAAATATACAGAAATGAGGGGTGACTGGAGATTTTTGCTCTGTACTATACAAACTCTTGTTTTAAAACAAAAACCAAAGATACTATTTTTGTTATCAGTGCATATAAGACAGTAAACTGAAATATGATACTACAATGAATTTTATTGCTTTAAAGACTAAATTAATAAAATAAAAGTAATTTGCAAATGAGGAAAGTGAGACACTCACAGGTACTGCAGGTGAGCCAGACCAGCAAAAGCATCATCAGCTATAGTAGTGAAGGTGTTGGAATTCAAGAGTCTGCGCAAAGAAGGAAAAGTTAAATCACCTTACTGTTAGAGTTCTACATGTCCAACAACAGAAGACACAAAGCAGCTGGTTGCCATTTAAAGTGTTAAAAAAAAACAACCAAAAAACGATTTGTCACAATTTCAGTGTGTAAATCTCAATGCAAGGCAAATGTTTTGAACAATAACACATTAGGACTATAAGGAGATGCACAAATGCAGATGTGCACACGAGCGCCTTACTTATGATTGCATCTGAGGACATAAAGGCCCTTTTGTTTAGAAGAGCACAAGTGAAGGGAGTCAGTCATTGGCAATGACACTGATACAGAGCCACTTAACCCTTATTACTTGCGCTGTCACCACTGTTTTCAATAACCATTCATTTCTAGTACAGTGGCTCAAGTCCTTTCATTGTCCCTGCTAAACAAAAGATGCCCGCGTGCTGTATGAAAGCATACCTGTGTGACAAAGCGCCGTGACAGCGTGTGTGCGTTTTATAAAGGGGGTAATAGCTGTACACTGGTTGCTTGAGAGCTTGTGAGTCAAAAGTTTGCAATGTTGTGCATTTTTAAGGGTGTAGCGTGGTCAGGCAACTCACAGGAACTGCAGCAAGTGAAGGTGTGAGAAGGCTCCCTCAGGGATCGTAGTGAAGGCTGCGTTCACCATTGTCCTGTGTAGACAAACAACAGCAGATGTCATCAGATGTGTCACACGCCATGTTTGTGTCTAAGGGTTGAAAACACCATATTTTTAATATTTCTTTGTCATTTTATAAGCCTGTCATCTTTGCCTGTCATGTGCTTGCAGCTTGAATTGCAGTCGTGGCTGCATCATTCGATAGGCCATCAGAACTTTACTTTTTTCTCTTACTAAATGAGGGCACCACCACCAGCCCGTGCTCTTCAATTCCCTTGACCCAACAGTCAAACACCAGTGATGGGGGTTAACATCATCAGCGCCTTGTAACCTTTTCGGTGAAACATAACCTTGCCCCAGTCAAGCTTTCACTCCTCATTATTTGTGCTCCATTTACCGAGCAGCTCTCTGTGCCCTCTTCAAGATTAAATCTCTCAGAGGAGAAGCAGGTCTCCTGCAGTGAGAGAGGGGAGCTATTGTTAGTATTCCTCCCTGGAGCTTGATAGGATTTTTACTGCCATGCTCCCTCAACTAAGTTTACCATGCCTTCGCCGTAAAGGGACATTATTGTCACTGTTACATAATACTGCCAATGCAGAGGCGTGCTGCATTGTGAAAACATCAGCAGGAGACGCACCTTTGTTCACTTTAAAGTAACTAAAAGGCAAGCGAGGGGTTTTTCATGCATCATTACATAACGCAGGGTGACATCAGTGATGTAGCCGTCGGTGCCAGCCTGCAGACTGCCGAGATTTCACACAGGTTAAGATAAAGATGCTTCTGCTGAGCGAGAGGGAAACATATAAACAGAGAACTCACAGAGAGATGATTCCAGGGGGGAAACTCTTGGGGATAGCCTTGGTATCCACACAGAAGGCACTGTCTTTGGTGCAGGAACAGGTTGCAGGGCAGCGGGGTATCTTTGGGGCTCTCCTGCTGTCTGACTGCCCCGGCAGGCAGAGAAACAGACACAGAACCGACAAGCAGGCTAGCCTCACCCATCTTGGTCCGATTTCCAGCATCGTTGGTCGGGAGGAAAGGGGAGCTGTCTGAGTGAGCTTCTTCTTAAAGTTTTAGATCAGTAGCAAGTGGCGTGTTTGAGAGGCGGTGGTCAGCTTGTCTACAGCACAAGCGCACAAAAGAGAGAGAGAGATAAGATGGGATGTGGGTGAGAGAGGAAAGGAAGGTAGAAAGGAGGGCGAATAAGGGTAAGCCTGTGTATCCTCGGTGGGCGTGGGTGCTCTGCAGCCTCCCTGGATCTGTGCAGTCTTTTTCTGTGTCCCTGTCAGGAGCTGCTGCCAGGATGCCCACTGCAGGAATGATGAGCGAGGCTGCTTTCTCTCCACCAGGACCTGTTTGCAGTGCCGCTGACAGTGAATTATTTACTATTACGCATGCAGAAAACCTCTAAAACAGCGGCAGCAGCAGGGAGAGACGGGATAAAGATGAGAGGGTCTTGTAGAAGACGTCTCATCAGGTGCAGAATCCTGTCAAGCTTCTGCAGTCAGGAGAGCAGACAAGGAGGCATCAAAGACACAGGCAATATGTGCGTGCATGACTTCATGTGTCAGTGGTTGTATGTGTGGGAGGGTGTTTTTATTCTGTCTGCTTCTAAACAGCAGCCAGTGCTGAGATTTCTCTTATTTTGAAGGTATTAAAATAAACATGACTCAAAAAGAAGGAAGAAAAAAGTGAGAAGGAGAATATGAATGCTACCCAATATACAGAAGTGTATTATTATGTTATGAAATAATCTGAAATGAGTTTCTCAATCTCGGCAGTCAAATGTGTAAGTAAACAGGAAAAAGTGTAATCAGTAACAACAATGGCTGAAAAACAAACCCTTGTTTTTTGTGTGTTATTGCTACAGATTGTTTATATGGTGATACACGTTGCTTTAATATATTCAAATATATAATGCAGGTAATGGGGATCAGAATAAACAAATGTGCAATTACAAATATAAGAAAAGTGTACTATTTATTTGTGTTGACACAACTAAAACCCCTGTCTACACAGCAATTACCCTAAAAGTAAGTTCCATCACCTAATTTTTAGGTGAGCTTTAGATGTTCAAAAAAGCGTTTTCAATTAAATAATAAATTGAAATCTTGATTGCATAAATGTTGTAAAACACATGCTGCTAAATGCAATAAAATGCACAATGGCAGCTATAAGAGTCTCTCTTTGTGCCTTTCTACAAAAACAAATATTTTTTTCTCTAGAATATTTTCATTTTGTTTATCAAAAGAAGTAGCAACAGGATTATGAAGATAATCATCTAATATCTGATAAACATCAGATTGCCAGCGTGAATTAGACGCAATCCCTGTCAAACTCAGTACTGCCTCCAGACACCAGGTGGTGCTGTTGTCAATAAAATGTACAGCATGTTTAGGGCTGTCAGCTGCACTGTGGCCAAGTAGCTGGTGGCAGGGGCTGCAACCTCAGTGCCAGGCATTACCAGCTTTCCTGCACAACGACTCTGTTGTCACAAGTGCAGAGACCCTGCGACGTGCTGTCTGTCCAGGTCTCAGCACATTGTTCCCAACCCAGACGCACAGCATGTGGTTTTAATCATCTGATTCAAAGCAGCAGCTCTTTGTACTTTTTTTTTTAAGTAGAGGGTAACTCTTAACAGACACATGTAACCAAAAGTGTGATTTTGCTTTTGTTTTTTCAGTCCCATATTCTCTTCTAATTTACTGTATGAAACACAATCAAACCCATTACTTGATGTCCAAAAGCAGAAAATACCAAAAAATGTCTGAATGGGGCATATCTTTGCTTTGCCTTGGGACAGTCTGATTCATATCTATGAGCAGCTTCTAAAGAGTGTAGTGTTTTTGAAAAGAAATCTTCAAACTCGTGAAGCTGCAGCAACAGCTTTCGAGAAGCAGTTACAAAGTTGGGTGGTGTCTCTTTTGTGCCTCATCCAGTTTAGGAATGCCATTTCCTGTACAGTAGCTATTTTTATTGTTTATTTTCTTTTGTACTCCATGTGGCGTGTTTGCACTTGTCTCATTTTTTTTGTGCTAACTGTATTTGTAGATTTATGCAAGTTATGCCAAGTCAGGAGCAGTTAAGTCCTTGCAGAGCTCCACCCAATCCGAAACCTCCGGTGGGAACCAGCATAATTGCATGGCATAAAGAAGGGAGCATGAAACAGCAGCTGGAAACCCTAACATGGCCCATGCGGAGGAATCTGAAATGCCGCTGAGCTTAATCCACAAAATTCTCCCCATACAAGTGTACTTAGTAAATCATAGGTCTCGGTTTTAAATACTGTTTTGGAAAAATGTGCTGTGTGAATTCAGTCGATCATGACATCAGAGCATGCATGATTTCAGTGTCTTAAACAATGAACCCTTAAAAAATTAAACACTGAATTGCTTTGTTTGCCAAGACATAGATGAGAAGTCTTCCAGTCAGCTTTAGTCATGATGTGAGTGTACCCACAGCAGGCTTTTAGTTCGGCTTAGAACAAAGTATCACTCAGTTTTAGAAGTGCATCAAAGTGGCACCGAGCTTACAATCTACAGTACTGTGCAAAAAAAAATGTCGCCCCTCATTTCTTTATATTTTGCTTTGAGAAGTGATGTTGAGCAATAGTTCTCCAGGTGTACTGCAAAGTTGATCTTTGGATATTGGCTGCTTTTTCACTCATTGTCAGTGAAAAATGACAATGAGTGTATCTGACCCTTTCTCAAAGGAATCTTTTTTGTTTGTCAAGCAACTTAACACTGACCTGTGGATCAATCAAGCATTTAAAAAAGGCACCTAAATCAAGGGATTGGCAAAGAAGCTAATTTAAATTGTATCTTTGTTGTTAGCAGACTAAATTATTTATTCCAAATTCTTTAGTTTAATCCATGAAAAAAAATGCCAAAGATAACACAGTCTGACAGCTTTAAAATATTATTTTCTTATCAACAAGATTACTCACGAGGACATATTAGCCAGAAACGTGGCTCGGGATTTTAGGGTGGAGTGCAGTGTGTTTTTAAAACATTCAAATTGTCAGCAGTATTTACAGAGGAGGTCAGGGGAGAGGTACAGCAGTGTCTACAGCCATATGTAAAACACAGTGGAGGCTCTGGCATAGTTTGTGCAGTCAGATTTTGATTAACCATGTAGTACCAATAAGTGTCAGATTGGCAGTGGTTTCATCCTTCAGCATGCTAATCATCCCAACATACTGCTAATGCAGGAAAAGCATACCTATAGAAAAATACACACACGTATTATTGAAGCAGTGTGGCTGTGTTGAAGAATAACTGTGGTCATACCTAATATTGACTTTCAAGCTTATTAGAACTTTGCAAACTCTGTTTTTCACATATATACTGTATACATACATGGAAATCCGTGTATGTTTGCATGTTTCAGTAAACTGCCGCACCTACTTCCTATTTCCCTAGCAAAATATAAAGAAACGAGGGGTGGGTCAAGAGTGTTACACAGCACTGTGAATCTCAACAAGAAGCAAATAATACTACAGCTTTTGTGTGTGTGTCATCATTTGTTTAATATCACATCTCTACCCATTTTTAGCCCTCCTTTTGGTCTCTGCCTATTCCAGAGGAATATATCCCTGTCTGCTTGTTTCTGGCTGCGATTAAAGCAGTTCAAATGAAGCTGTGCATAACATTTGTGGCCTAAATAGCAAACACTGAGCAAAAACTGTCTATAAAACACTATTAAACAGAAAAAAGTTGCACACTGTCGCATCATTTTCACTTTTAATTCTTCATAGTTTTGTTTCAATTAGTTAGTTATAGCCAGCAGAAATAAATAATTTGATATTTTTTCTCATAAGACGAGTAGAACATGAATAATCCAAGGCTTATTCTGTAACTGCATTAACAGCCCCGAGGATAAACTTCGAGGACTGTGCTTCTACAGGCAGTGCACCCTTAGCACATCTCTCAGTCAGGAATTATATGGAATTAACAGCTGTGCCTTTTGAACTGCTTTGTTTCATATCAGCCCTTCGGGCAATCAAGGAAAGTTCAGCCAAGTTACCACTCACTCTGAGAGCTCAACATTAAGAGGAACACTTGCTGAGTTTGGCAAAAATTAGTCATTGAACATTACAAGTGTTCTCGTCTGCCAAACTCTCACCATCCCATTATATCCTCTGCTGTCTGGCACGAAGGTGTTCTAAAATCCAGACTTTTCACCTCTTCTCCCCAAAGCCCTGCCTTACCGGGAATCAACCCTATTTGGACAACTGGAACTTTACGTCACAACTTGAACAGCGTCCCCGTTCTCCTCCGTTTCAAACCCACATCCCATTCTGATTATGTGCCAAGCAGCCTGAAAAGACCTCTCTGTCACTCTGTTTCGATTTCTGTTTGGTTTTCATGGTTTGGCATGGTGACTGTTCAGGAAAAGGCAAAGAGAAAAAAAACTGAGTAGGAGGAGAGGTGAAATTTGCTTCACCTCAGTTCTTTTCAGGGAAAATCAGAGCCGCTCCAGGCAGCGGATTCACAAAACTGTCAAGGCTTCAGTCAAACGTGCGCACACGCAGACACGGCGCAGCGTGTGCACTTCCTCTGGAATTCTTTACACGAGTTGATTAACAGAGATAGACAAGGGCACAAATAAACAGGGGATTCTGAGGCATTAAATCATTAACTTCATCTTCAGGTGTCTCCATGAGGCCGTCGGCCGATTCATGCCAGTAACTGAGTTGGCCGAATTTGAGGACAAGCTGACGTCAGGCCTGGTGAGTCAGGAGCCATTGATGCATTCACACGTGACCAAAAATTCAATAAGTTAGTAAGTGTCTGTCACAACAGGCCACACGAATATATCTTCGACGGCCAATCGCAGAGTCGCAAACATGCCAGTAAAACTGATAATCATTTTATATAAGACAATAAAGCTAGAGCTCTCAGTCAGGTGTTACTACTCCAACTAAGCCAGTGAAATGGAAAGCAAGGGACAGAGCACAAGCAGGCTGGATACTTTCAAGGTTTCCTCCCAAACTGTGCCAAGAAAACAACCATTCCAAATTGCTCTAATTCCTTGCCCTGCTATCTCTAAGTGAGGCACAGTCGCTGGAAGGTATGTCAGCCCATCTCATCCTAGGCTCAATTCAATTAAAGAGAGTACAAAGACATATGGCTCAGGGGCAAGTGATATGATTAGAGTCTGCTGTACGAGGACGCCGCAGCTTTGATTCATACCCTCTTTCATTTGGTCACTCACAGTGTGTGTGTGTGTGTGTGGGGGGGTATTTGGTGCTGAAACAACTAAGCTCTCCCAGGTGGACCCGTAAAAGGCTTGCTGAGCTAACCTCCTACAATCAGCTCGTCATGTTGTCATTGTCTTCTCACTGGAAACCGGCTGCAGACAAGAAAATGCTACATATTTTTCAGTTTATCATCAGTCTGTCATATTGAGACCTTGGGCGTCAGGAAAATCCTCTTAAACTCAAGACTGTGCTACTGTCTTGGTTTCCATTCCTCACAATGCAGAGGAGCAACTGTACCCCGTACCCCCGCCCTTCGAGCGGAGCTGCCATAAAAGACAAGCGATACGCCTCTTGGGACAGGGATG